TACGGATTCGAGTTCTCCGCCCCAGAAAACCTTAAAGTATCAACTCTATGATCGGAAGATAGAGCTCGAATTGTGAGTCAACTAGATGGTGGACAAAAACGGAAGCTATTTCCGTTTAATTATCTTTGTAATAGGTGAGTTAGCCTTCTCGTTCCTTTATGTTTTATATACCATTTTGCAGCTCGTGAAATTCTCTATCGAATGGCATATAATAGTTGGGGTTTTATTTGACTATCATGGGAAAAGTCTTTTACGAAAGCTGGAATGGGTCGATTTTCGCATAGGAAGCCATAGGGAAAAATGACTATTTTTGCAATAACTCACGAATGGCTCGGCCGATCATGCTCATCTTCGAACTCGACTGAGATATTGTTAAGACTAAACTGTGTAGAAAATTTCATCATGATCTGACTCTCCTTTCGAAAGTTATCGTGTATACGGCCGGACGGCCATACGGACCGATTCTAGAGTGTACTCACTTTTTGAGTACACAAAAATTAACTATCTTGAGTGTATGCTCGGCATTTTAACCTTGTCTCGTGAGCGGTTTGGCCCTTTGAGCTAAAAAGGTCTCAATTGAACAGAAAACAGTTTAATCTATTTAAATTCACTACACTCCAATGAGTAAGTTATGAGATAAAAAAGTAATATAAGCCAAAAACTGCATAAATTCAACGAAATAGTACCTTACGAGAGGCGGTATTTTGGACTTTTCTCACTTGGTGCAGTAGGCTCTGTATTTATTTTTTTCTGCAAGACAGAGCTCGTCAAGATACATCTCTTGTCACTAAATTACAAGGAGAAAAACACAGGCGTGCTAAGTTAGCATGGACCACACTGTATGCGATCCTATCCGGTGACCACTGACTCTACTCTCAGAGTGATATAATATCTTTAGAAATCACAGAAATTGAGTTCAGATTCGTGTTCAGCTTGGAAAACTGGGTAAGAAGAGTTATTTTTGAATGGATTTGTGTTTGTATTTAGCGGGATTACGATCGTAAGCAACATCACGAATCTATAAGAGATATATGATAGATACAGGCATCAGTATTTTCATAATAAATCACCAATATTAATAGCTATCGAGTTCGAGTTTTTGCCTTTCGATAGTCCTTTTGACTAGCTACAAAACCAGGCATTTGGGAAACTCCAAAACTACTGGTCGTCTGAGACACATCTAGGCAATTTGGTTTCTGGATGCAGTTTTTGTACATTTTGAGACCTTTTTCAGGCAATGTTTCGTTAGAAAACTACCATTTGGTTCAAAACTAATATCAGATTCGGAATCAGCGTTAAAAACTGAGTCGATTTATATATGTTGTGGATAATTCTGAGAAAAATATTTTTTTTGAAAAAATCCCTGTATCCCCCCTCAGGGATGGTCTGGTCAAAAATGACAATTTTTTCGATAACTCAGCCATTTCTTGACGGATCCTTCTCATCTTCGAACTCGACCGAGATATTGATGAGACAATTCTGTGCACAAAATTTCAGCTCAATCGGATGTAATTGTGAAGAGTTATCGTGCTCACGGACGGCCGGCCGGACACACTGACCGATTCTAGAGTGTACTCACTTTTTGAGTACACAAAAAAGTGAATAAAAATGCAGGCGAAACTTTTAGAACACGCTTTATATCTTTCACATAAATACTTATATACTCTATTCATGTATGTTTCTATTTGTTAATGAAAACAACAAGGATATCTTTAAAAAAAGACATTTCACAATGTTAAAAGCAGAGAATTCACATCGTAGAAGATGCTGAATAACAAAAAAAAAACACCAAGTAAATCGCGAATATAACAGACGACATTGAATATCATGGAAATAGAAAGATGAAACGAAAAGGTTATCGTAATATTTTCAAATTAAAAACAAGTTACAATAATCATTTAAAAATATGTGAAAGAGTATCGAATTTTATGTTTGTAATGAACTTCTCATTCCAGCTGCAAAAAACCTTAACTGAAGTGCAAGAAAAAGAAAGAAAAGAAATTTCAATTCAGGTATAGAAATGTTACCTTTGAAATGACTTTTCTTTATCTTCGCTTATGCAGCCGATTATTATGAACACAAGTATAAGAGAAAAAGGAATACAGCACCTAGATTGCTTTATATTGATGAAAAAAGAATCCCATGAACATAGACTTGAATGGAAAAAAAAAACTAAATTGAAGAAAACTTAAATATCATAAAATAGGGTGAATGTGCACATCTCACACATGTTATCATTATTATGAGAAAACACCATAGATGATGATGAAACATGGCACAAGGTATTTTTTCATTTTAATCATATTATTCGTTTACAGTTGGATAAGTGAAAATACTCTTTTATCATTCTTTCTTTTACAAATAAATCTCTTTGTATACTAAATCTATATTTTTTAGTCTTACCTTAGAGAAAATCAATCTTTTTGCGTTTTTATTGTGATATGAATATGTATTCTTATTACAGTTATATATACCAAACTTGAAAATTCAATTCAATTCAAATTTTACTTACATGATCATCTCATGATTTTCGATCTACACAAATTGCAAAAACAATCAAAACATATAATCATCGTGCAGCCGTCAATCATGACCTGCTGTAGACAACACATTAAATACCAGTTACCTATGCGTTCTCTAATCTTCATCCGCTTGTTTTGCTCATCATATTTGAGAATAAGCATATGCTTACTTAATTATCCATAAACTACTCAATCTTGAAAACAACACAAAACATACTTTCCCTCTTTTCTAGATTTGTATTATGACATTGAACGAAATCGTCGACTGGAAAAAATACTACATTACCATATCCAAAACAAATGAATCTCCCAAGCATCATGCATTCAAAACTGTGTATTATTTTAATACATAGCAGCGTTATATTGCATAATGTCGGACATGACGAACTGCTAAAGTAATTAGGTCATAAGGCAATTGTTATGACGGCAATAGAATTCTACTGTATTATCTAATCGTGATTGATGACTTGGTTATGATCGTGTCAAAGATATTGATATAGCAAGAGACAATAGTAAATGTCTAGATTTTTACATCTTCTTCTCGTTTTGCATAGATTTTCACGTTTCTTGAAACAAAACAAAAGTAAGAAAAGGAGTAAAAAAGAACGAATCACATTGGAATTTGCTCATAAAAGTGAAAAAAAACATCTATCCTTGAGGGTTGAACCATATTCATAAAAATGTGGTTTCATCATTTTTCACAAGAAATAGTTTATTCTTGCAAATGTCAGAGACAGCAAAAAAACTACACATTTGCTATTTTTTAAGAAAAATTCCGTCTGGAATATTGATTTTAGTTTTAACAGGGTTTTTTGCTGATTATGATATCAGTTTTCATGGTGATATTGGACGATCTGGACAACTTTCCGACCCAGAACCAATGCCATTTTCTGGCATGACACTAAGTTTTGCTCGTCGAATTCCTTTGTACACAAGTATACTTACTAGCACAATAGCAACAAAATTGATACCACATATGAGAGAAAATAAATATCCAGTGTTCATCGCCTTCTCCAGAGGTACAGCAGCAGTAACAAAGATACTTGATGAAAAAGAGTCAAAGAACCCATTGAGAGAAGATACTGTTGCTGCTTGCTCCTGTTTCTTGACCGTCAAATAGGCAGAGACTCCTGGCGCCAGGACCGAATAGCCGAGACCGATCAATATCTGGCCAATGATGGGTCCTATAACATGAAGTCGATAATGAAATGTCCATCCATAGATGATTAATCCGATAGAAGAAAGGATGGGAAAAGTCAGACCTGGCACAAGACATCCTTCAGGGCAAATTACATCACCATAATATTTCATAGCTTTATCTGAAAGCCATCCTCCGATAAGACTACCAATGAGCATGCCTATTCCGCCTGGTACGAACAGCGTACCAATAGTTGTTTCTGTATAGTTGTAAGGTGTCTCGTGAAGATGAATAGGTAAAAGAGTAAGACTGATAAAAAGTGCAGTAAATGCCAAGGTTGCCACAATAACAAATGGTGAAATTGCTAGTTGAGTCATAAAAAACAATGACTTCCAAGGCTTTTCGAAAGAGGGTTTTTGCTCTGGCGTAGTGTTGATTAGACGATTTTGAGGATTCGTCTTATGAAATTGCTCTTTGACAAAGTACTGATGAGATTCAGGTATTAGTACGAATGTTAAAATGAGGATAACAAACGAGAAGATGGTCAACATAATGAAAGTACCCTCACCAGTCAAGCGCGTCTGCTACAGCACCGCCAAGCAACGGACCAATAAGAATGGACAAATAAAAAATTCCCGTTCCCCATCCTCGCTTTCCTACCGAATAGACATCTGCTACTATACCTTTGCCGACTACAAATGTTGCTGATATGGCAACACCTTGGAAGGCGCGAAATACAATGAGAAGGGTTATATTCGAAGCAAATATGCAAACTATTGATATGATCACAAAGATTATTAGAGCCACTATAAGCGTAATCTTTCGACCGAACCGATCTGATCCTGGTCCTCAAACAAGACTCAAAACGCCGTTCATAAACAAGTAGATTGATACACTGAGTGCTACCAATAAATCAGTTGTGTTCAAGTCATTTTTGATAGTATTCAGTGCCAGGTAAGTAAATAGTATCACAAAATGTTAGAAGAAAAGCAACAATAGAAGCAACCACAATTATCAGATTACGTTTAAATGCTGAATATATGTCATAAATCGATAAATATTCAATGATAACATGCGCCGCTGATTCGATGACTGCTGTTGAATGTATTGATCCATTTTCGAGGGACATCGATGACTGAAAGATGGTCAATGGAAGTATTTGGTTTTCGTTGGCGTCGTAAGTTTTGTAGTCCCTAACACTTTGCGTACTGATCTCGTTCTTTAATGAAGATTGATGATGACTATCAGGTATCTTAGTATTCAAGTTTATCTATAGTTAAAAGATGGAATATAACGGGTGCGGCAGAATAAATTGCCGACTTTTGACATGCTGTTTTCTCAACTTAAACTTGATGAGGAAGTTTCGTTTTGATGTTAAAAGATAGAGAATTTTGTGTAGATTTTATTAATATGTTCTTCACAAAATGAACATTTGTCTTTTCTTTGTATCACTAAGAGTACTAGACACCACAAAAACATCAACTGCTCAGCGTATTTAATGGAATAAAATGTCATTTTTCTTTGTTAAATTATTTAACATAAGCTATCAAAACTCAGTATAAAAAAGGTACAGATCCACATCTGTTTTTTAGGTCCAATAGCAAGTTCTGGGATTAAGCTTCGTAGTTTTAAAAACCACTCGCAAAAAATGCCCAGTCGCCTCTTTTAGACATCTTTTTATGTTCATGCAAACATCTTAGCTTCGGTACTAGATTAGAAAAGCAATTCAGCCCTTATAATGAGAAGCATTTTGTAGAGCTTGAATTTCTGCATCTTTTGATAAAAAAAGAATAGTTTTTCTAAATCGAAGTTTCGAGAAAATTAACGAGGAAAAGTACGATTCCATTGGCCGAGTTTGTTTTATTGATGTTTTGCGGTTTTTGAAGCCGAAACAACTAAGCTTATAAAAGCAAACACACCACGAGAAACACTGAAAAATTCTACATCTCTTACTATGAAGATACATTTTTTGAGCTGCAATTAACTGGGCAAAAATTCTTGTACACAAGTGTCTCATTTACCAGTTGAGCAGTTAATGTTTTTGTGGCATCTAGTATCATTAGTGATACAAGAGAAGGACAAATGCTCATTTTGAAAGGAACATATCAATGAAATCTACACAAAATTCTCTGTCTTTTAACATCAAAACGAAACTTCCTCATCAAGTTTAAGTTGAAAAAACAGCATGTCCAAAGTCAGCAATTTATTCTGCCGCACCCGTTATTATTTAATTATCTTAACTCTATCCAATTCTTCTCTAATCTATTATTAATGTTCGATATATTTTAAGATCTCTCATTGGATATAATAATATTTTTTAACATTATTTATATTCTGTAAAACTTTATGATTTTATTTATTAATCTATAGTTATAATATTATCATATTTTGATATATCTACATAATAAATAATAAAAGTTGAGTTATAATACAAATAAGCTAAATAAAAGTGAAGACGAGCAATATATGACTCTATTTAATTCGATATATTCGAAATTCTTTTATATCTCGTCTGAAATATATATTGAGATTTTTCATGTTTATTTATGTTTTGCAATAATGTTTGTCGAACATATTCTATAATGTTATTGAATTGTGTAAATATCTAGTATGTTTGTCTATTTACCTGTTTTAGATTATATAGTTAAAAAAAGAAAACAAAAAAAAAGAGATAAATCTCTATTTTAACATCGAATTGAACAATATTAAATATGTTATGTATGCTGACAATGTCAAAAAATCATTTATCAATAGACTCATGTTTTATAAATATGATAATGGGCTATTTCCATGGGAAGTCAACTACAAAAACACAAAGTCTTTTATAAATTTCTTTTTGTACATGGTTTTGTAGAGCTTTTTACGCTGATCATTTTGATTAAAAAAAGTTCTAGATATTCTGTAGGAATAGTGATGTTATGATCAAAATACTGAAAACTCCAAAATAGCTGAAAATGCATTTTTTTGAATTTTCTAACAGAGAATATTTCATGATGTATGCCATTTTTTTCTACATTTTTTCAAAGAATATACAATAAAATTATAGATTCTGATAGCTCGAGAGCCAAAGTACAAGAAACGATGAATTTTGAAGCGTTTTTGTCCATAAAATCGGCGACTATTCAATAATAATTATTCTGTGAATGACTACGAAAAATACCAAAAAAGTCGGTTAGCATTACTCAAAATGGCTATATTCAGAGAAACTGTGGTATAGTGGGTTTTGTAGAGCGAAGTTTGCTCTACAAAACTCTATACCTAGTTTTTCATTTAAAGTCGAAAAGTTTGAGTTAATCTCAACGCAACATTTTTGATAGCATTGATTATAAAATGAAGAAGCTCATACCCTTGATAGTTTGTTTTAGTGTTCGACCTGAAAATTATACTGAACACCTATTTTAGCAAAAGAACATGATTAATTGATACTAAGACATGTATTAGCATCAAATAAGTCTTACTGATAATAATAATCTTCGCTCTTGGATCAACCCATGAGAAAAGCGCGTTTTATTTCTTAAAGTTTGCTTACAAGTGGACTCATATCAGTTGTATGATGCCTTACTCGTTATGCAGCTTAAGTGACTATGTAGTCATTCATAAAAATGATCATCTGGAAAAATTTTGGATGTCAATATACTGCTCTTTCGAGAGCGAAAGTTGATGACGTCTACCCATCACTGGTTGAATAATGAGCGATGCAATTATATCTTGTCAATCAACATTTTACTTGTTTCCCATTTTTGCGAAGGCAGTAAGGTATGAAGGATGTGGAAAAGAAGGCTTGTAGCATTGAACCATTATCTCTTGCTGTGTCAGATTGATTTCAATGACTTGAGCAAGATACCGTTTATCATCGCGCTCGAGAATAACGAAGTTTTGTATAGAAATATCTCGTAGTGCATTAACTTGCCGTAAAGAAGACTATTTTTCTTCGGCTCTATGATCGCTCTGAAGAGTGAATATATGAGCATCCACAGAGTTAGACGTTCGTCGACGGAGAACAGTACCATCATTTTCTGGATCGAATTGATGAAACGTGCGAATACGTTCGATCCGTCCTAATGAACAACTTTATGTAATTTTTGAAAAAATGCTAAATGTTTATCGTTTAGCTGATCCTCTCGATAGGTAAGGAAGTCTTTTGTAACACGTTCGACAACACCACGCTTTAAATAGTTAATATTGATTGGTAGTTCACTTGCGTTGTCGTTAAACGCCTTGGTGAAGTTAAAAAAATCATCTACAGTCGAAAGCACTGTACCGGACATGAGTATAGACCGACTGACACTCGACTTTACTGAGGCTCCGATTCCGTCATATAGACCTTTACCGTGCCCCCTTGCACAGAATGTCCAGCAAGCTTCTATGTTAAAATCATCCTTATGATACATTAAGTTTATCATATTCAGGTGATTTTTAAAATGGACTGGTGCCCCGTCACTAAAACAAATATAAGTTTTTACTTGAGTTTTTCGATGGTACGAAAATACCTCAAATAGTTAATTTTGATGATCTTAGGATAATATTTCTTCAGAAAATCAACAATGAGACGTTGGGCACAATAAACAAAAGCTGTATCATGGCGCACATAGTCGCTAATGACGACCATGTTCTTGTGATCGTTTCCGATTTTAATGTTGATGGTGAAAATCGTGGATTGTTGATTGTTCCAATACGCCGCTTGAATCTCCCTTTGTCTCATAAATGTATAATTTTCCTCAAAATCGAGGTGTACGACGACGTATGATAAATGACTTGATCTCAGTCGAAGGTTATTGATGTACGTGTGTTGTTCTCTATTACAGTAACTATGCAATAAAAACAACGTCTTTTGTTCATCAATTTCGTTAAGTAAAGCTGTAATCGTTCCACGAATTTGATAAAGATCAACTTTTTTATCGTCTGTCTTCCATAATGACTATGACCATATATCATATTCATCAATCATATCGAAATGGTGCTGAAGAATTGATGAAGGAGATCTATTGTTGCATTCATCACAGAGACCTAAGAAGCAATCTTCGACAGGGGTATCACAAACAACCAAGTCGATTAAATTCGGAACAGTGATCTTGGCTAAATTGTTATTTGCACTCGGTTTCTTCTGAACATAATTATTAAATGTCTGTAACCCAACAGAACAAGTACGTATATTGTTCTATGCTTTTAAATTAATAGTTAGAGTTACCTGTAGTACAAGACTCATATTCTCATGAGTTTCACACATGCATGTCTCATGTGGACAAGATATTTTGACTTGATGGGGCTTAAGCGAATAGAAAGTTGATTTGCTAACTTTGACTGTTGAATAATCGTTGTAAAACTTCCGTACAGCTTCTTGGATGGACATTTCCATAAATCGAACCGATACAAGTTC